CAGACACTAGTATGGCAGTATGTAAAACAGTGGATGTGTAACTGATGTGATTCTGCAATCTGTATACRGGGTAAAAATGGGAGTTCATAACCCACTTGAATCAAATGTATGAAATACGATATGTCAAGAACTATGTAATGTTTTGACCAACCAAYAATAAAAATTTTTTAAAAAATTTTAAAAAATAAAATTCTAACAGAGGGCTGGAATGTAGCTCAGTGGTAGTGTATCTGCTTAGCATAAGCAAGGCCCTGAGTTCAATTCCCAGTACCACAAAAAAAGAAAAAAGAATGTCCTAACAGAATTTTTTTAAATAAAAAGAGCAGAACAATGGTACTTCCCAAATACATATTAACATTGGACTTAAAACTTGCTAAATTCTTATAGCATTCTGCTGTACGATTAAATTCATTTTATTCTCAAGTAACATTCTCTATATGGTGCACTTAAAATTGTTTAGTAATTGTCTACTCTCAAATTCAAGTAAGATGACATCATACACACTTAATTCTGTATTGTATATATAACACATATGTAGTAACTTCTTGTGTTTATCTCTCCTATGTCCGAGAAATCTCCAGATGCTTTTTAGTCTCACAACATTAGGTAGAGTATATTTTCATTAGCTAGAATCCATTTTTCTTTTTCCTTAAAGCTTATGAAAAAGGGGCTGGGGTTGTGGCTCAGTGGCAGAGCACTTGCCTTGCACATGTGAGGCACTGGGTTTGATTCTCAGTACCACATAAAAATAAACAAACAAAAAATATTGTGTTCCATTTATAATTTAAAAAATTTTTTAATATTTTTTTAAAAGCTTCTGAGGACAATTTTTGTTTCAGTAGATTTAATTAATTTTACTCCTAAAGGATGATGAATGCCCCAATATTTTATTTCTATCTAAAATTACAAATGATAAATCATAAATGTGTGTGTGTAGGGGTGTGTGTGTAGGGGTGTGTGTGTAGGGGTGTGTGTGTGTGTATGTGTGTGTGTATACAAAATAAAATAGTTGCACAGCTACATGAAAAGCTGAAGAAGATAATGCACTTCTTTAGAGTATGGAAAGGAGTTAGTCCGGAAACTGCTTTAGGCACACACATAAGTATCTTGACTCATTGAATACTAGGCTTTTGAAAGCTGATAAAAGATTATTTTAAGACATTATAATTAAAGAAAAAAATAATACTTTTGTCACCTAGGATAATAGGGGTGTAAGGAAGCACATTTATGCAAATTAAATTAATGCACACAGATAGCTATTTTCCAAGTTAAGGATGTCGAGTCATCCATGAAAGAGACACATTGAAGGCAGCAAGCAAAAAATGCAAAGAATATGGACTACTTTCAAAAATGGCAAAGAGAAAAACAGAATGTGAAAGTAGTTAGAAACAATCTTGCTTACTGTATCATATAGTCTAGATAACTAAATCTGAATGCTGACAAGCTACATGTATCCATAAGAAATCCTAAATACTCAATTCACACCTTGACTTTACATTCTTAAGTTTTCCTTTTGCTATCATTCTTGCAAGTATTTTTAAAATAGTAGTAAGATGTTACTATATAACTTACTTGAGTGAGAAATAAAAGAACAAAACCAAATAAAATGGCTGAATACATTAAACTAAAACTTTAGCTTCTGTCAAACAATAATTTCTTCCAATATCATTCCCTTTACCAGGGCTTGAAACCAATTTTCTCCACTATTGCCATTCAGACACAAAAATTAATTTACTCCAAAGTAGAATTTTATTCCATCCTATTATATTCCAACTGTTAACTGGGTAAGTACTTTGAAATTATTACTACAAATATTTTTAAAGAATGCATAATATCAATATTTAAATTCTGGATTGAAATCAAAAGCAGAGGTATTAGAAGAAAAGAGTAGCTAAACCAAAATGATTTTGACAAATACAAAATCATTAATACTTTTTAAATGTAACTACAACAGTACACATAAACTAGAAAAATGCCATATTCTTATGCAAAAATATAAAAATATTTTTATATCTTAAATATATAAAAGGGAGATATTTTCATGCATAGCTTGTTTTTTTTAGCAGTACCCACAAAAAAGGTAAAAAGAAATAGTTATGTTTCTGTTATGTAAATAAGTATTTTTTTTACATTGGCAAAGGCACAAGTGAATAATTCAATGGGACAAACATCAGGAAGACCAAGATGGGTAAGGGTTAAAATAATCTCTTTTCTATAACCAATACCTGATTCTTACTTCCACTTTCTATTAATAAGGTTTTGTTATTCCTGTGTGTATTTTTTAATGACAGTAATGTTACATATGTAACTTGCCTGAGTGAGAAATGAAAGGAACAGAACCAAAAGGATCTTCTGGAGGATGGTTATGTGGAGCAGAAAGTGGTTCTACATTCTTATCTGAGGATGCTCTCTCCTCGAGCCTATCTGTAAAAATAAGACGAAACAAAACAAAAAAATAAAACAAAACAAAAATGGTCTTTAAATTAAAAGTGATATACTTCTGTATAAATAAAAGCAAAAATCAAAGTAACAGCTTTTTGGAAAATATTAGATTCAGAGTTCCATTATTCTAAGTATTAAAACGTAGTCCTGAATTCAATACATATTTGTTGCTACAAAAGCAAATTTCACAATATAATCAGTGCTAGGTTACACTAAATACAATTAACCTAATAGGTTAGTTAGGTTCAGTTAAATATTACTTGATGACAATTTATAACATATTAAATCTAAATTTGAACCCTACTTATTAAAGAAAGGAAAACTTTCTCCAAATAAATATGGGAAAAAACATCACAAATGATCATTCATCATAAAAATAGGAAATCCTATTTCTTGATAGCAATAAAGTAATTCCCTATATTTTATTACTCATTTCTCATTTGTTTTACTATCAAATCATTTACCCACACACATAACATGGAGATGCAAAAACACAGATAAGAAGTTTATTTATTCATTCAACAAATATTTGAGTATCTAATATGTGCCAAGCACTGTTCCAGGCAATTGGTACATAACATAAAACAAAGACCCTGTCTTCATGTAGTTTATGTTGGTTTGAAAAAATTTAATAAGCAATGAGATAATAAATATATGTAGTATGTTTAAAATGAATAAAGTTATAAAGAAAAATGTAGTACAGAATAAAAGGAATTAAAGAAGTGGGCATTAATAAATAGACTGATTCTAATAGTTATTTAGGTAAGAAATGTCTTACAGGCTAAGGAGTGAATACACATAGGAAGAATTAGAGCTGAAACAAACTCAAAGGCAGAAGCAGGCCTGGCGTGTTTGAGGAAGAGCTGTTACGTTTTCATTCCCTAGAAATGATTATCTTTTCGCAGCTCTCAAACTTTCCACATAGCAGATCCTTATATCAATTAGAAACTTCTAGACTTTTGTAGGATGTCTCTTTCGTCTGATTCTTAGCAATCAAAATCATATTACTTGAGACTTACTCAGGTAGATATTTTGGCATTCCTGGGACTAGACCTTTGGTCCATATCCTTCAATGAAGTCCAATTCATATTTAGGTTGGCCTATTTCAAAAATTCTTTGTGTAATTATTTTGGTTTCAATAGAATCCTAAAGGACTGCAGAGTGTGGAAGGGGAATCCAAACAGATATGAAACTCCTTAAAATAACTTGTACTTTAGAGAGAAGCAGAAAGTACCAAGGTAAAGCAGTAACCCCTATAATAATACTTCTGAAACGTAATGTGCATTGCAATCATCCGGGGATTTGTTAAAATGCAGCTTCTGGTTCCACAGGTATAGAGTGCATTCTGAGAGTTTGCACCTCAACAAGTTCCAAGGTAGTACTGATATCACTGGTCCAAGGAGTACACTCTTGACAAAGCAAGACCCTGGAGCACATCATTATTCTGAATTTATTAATTACTCCTATGGACAACTAATTGCCTTTAAGACAGTGGATACAATTGCCAGCTTTTACAGCAAAGACAAACTCTGCAACATCCACATGGCACTATGGATTTAAATTTTTATTTAAAATTTTGTTGAAGCCCTAATGTTTTGTTGAGGTGTGAGGCACTGATAAAGAATTGCTGAACACATCTGACGATTGCAGAACAAACAAAACTTCCTAAAATGCTACTCTTCAATTACATTACTGAAATGGATAACAGAGAAATATTAGGCACTAATTTTAAAGATATTAACCATATATTCAATTTGGGAAACCAGTAACAAATGTTCATTGAACCATTGACTTTGCTGTCAAAAACAACTATTAAAGAGAAGGTAGTCTCATAGCTCTTTCTGAAAAAGTAAGGTTGGAGAATAATTTATATAATGAAGGGTTCCTCACCTATTGTGAGATGCCACAATTAGACTTTAAGGACCATCCTGTTATTCACAATGATTACCTATGGATACCCATGTTTTTTGTTTTTTGTTTTTTTAAGTTAGGCCCTGAATGTACTTACAGAATAACTGTAAACCAGGGAATTATGCCTTGTATCAGAATTCTCCTAGACTCCCTATTCTTCTCCATTTCCCAGATTCTAGTATCTAAAACTAAGGACAAAGGAAATAGGGAGTGGGAAAACACAAATGGGGGAGACTAACTCAAAATGATAGCAATAGCATAGCAATATCCAAGAGCCCTCTAAAAAGCAAGATTAAGAGTATTAGGTATTTATTTAAATCTGAATTAGGACCAGACTTCAACCCTAAACCATCTACATCATGATTTGAAGACTGCTACATAAAATGCAATTACTAACCATACCCACAACCTAATGAGTCAGAAAAATTATAAGTAGGAACGTGGGAATCTGCATTTTAACATAGTCACCAAATTTATAAACCACTACTATACCAATAGTTTCCAGGTTATAAAACTGCAAAATAACTACTAAGGCTCTTTGAATATTTATGCATTTGGTATATTATTTCCATCAAACTTTGGTAAGTTCATGGTAAATATACAAATAGTATCATGCAGTTAAGACAAGAGTACAAACATTATCACATAGGGATAAACTAATTTTTATATAGAAGTCACCACAAATAAAAAATATGGAAGACATGGTTCTATGAAAAGTTCATTTATCCAATTATTTTTAATCCGAAATCAAAATAAATTTATAATAAAATAAATCATGTTCTCAGTGTTCCACAAAACAGAATCACTTTTAATGGAATTTTTTTAATCATTTAAGGTTTCTAAAATTTACATGACAATCTGAGACCCAGAACAAAAAATACAAATATACATATTAATTTTTAACAATCAATTATCTATAAATAAAAAATAAAATGGTTATATAAAGCTACTTTTCAAATACAGTCACCCCTAAAATGTATTTAACTATCATTTTTAAATGATTAGTTTTCTTTAACATAGATCAAAGCTTGAGTTCAATTTGGCCAATATAAGAAACTTACCTCCTTCTGCCTTCCAAAAAAAAATTGTTTTGGTGAATACAGTTTATTTTTAAGAATTTTAATTGATACAGTTGGAAAAAATATAGGACTTAAAACTCCTAAAAGCAAAGTATATTCTACAATATCACCATGAAATTAAAATAATCTAAAAAATGAATTGTGCTGCTTATATGGATAATGTCCTACAGGGTCCAAAGGTCAATGAATAAGATTTTTTAAAAGAGCAGTCTCAATGTAATACTAATATTCTAATATACCTGGAAAGTTGTGTGAGAGTTAATGTTTTACAAGAAACTAATTATAGACTCACAAATTTTATTCTGTGGCTTCATAGATAAAACATATTCAGAAGTACTGAAAAGCAATCACAGTATTTAGCATCTTCTATTCTTCCTTTCAGTTATTTTTATGAAATTTTAAATAAAAACAAATAAATCAACCAAAAAATGTTTCATTAAGTATTATCCTTAACATTTACACCTACACAACYATGTGAACAAGTGCAAGTTGAAATTTCCCCAAACACCTGTATTTTGTTTAATTACTGCTTAATATGTTAAATACTATGACAAGTAGGTTTCTGAAGTTTGCATACCAAATCCAGACGTTTTGTTACAAAAAAACAGATAGAAGCTTAAATTTTTTTTAATTATTTATTTGTTTATTTACTTCACGCTAAAGATTGAACCCAGGGGCACTTAATCACTGAGCCACATCCCCAGCCCTTTTTTGTATATATTTTATTTGGAGAAAGGGTGTCATTAAGTTGCTTAGGGCCTCACTAAATTGCTGAGGATGGCTTTGAACTTGTGATCCTCCTACCTCAGCCTCTCAAGCCACAGGGATTACAGGCATGTGCCACAGCACCCAGCTTAAATTTTTAATAAATATTGAGACAAGCTTTATTACTAAAGCTTAATCTTGATTTAATGTATTGCTCTTAAGAACCAGTAAAGCTTCTGGACCATAAATAACATTCATTTACACTGAAAGTAAAAGACTAGTTTCTTTCATGTTAAATCCCTTTGCCTCTTATACAAAATCAACTGTTTTTCTGAAAATCACTAAAAAGAATTTTTACCAATTGCTAATAGTTTAGAATTTTCAAAATATTAATATGTTCTTAAAATTACCTTCTTGATAATACCTCAATAAAATACTTCCTAGACAGCATGTCCTTTGTCTTTCATTAAGGAAATAACCCCAAATGTGAAAGTATTATTCTGACTGGTTGCTTTGCAACCATTACATCATTACATGGGCAATGCCTGTACTTTAAGGACCATATAAAGATTTCCAGCCTCTCAATTCAAAGCATTTCAAAAACAAAAAATAAACTAATTTAGAATAATATTGGAAAATTATTAACAAATTAATATTTATACCAAGGAAAAAAGGTACAAACATCCTATTTGGCATTTCAAATACATCAATAATGTATTTATTCATTTTTGAAAAGGTTGTTAGGGACAGAAGAAACCAACCAATAATTACAAACACCAAGTTTCACTGCAGTTACCCTTGCAGTGAAATTCTTAAGGTTCTAGAAGAGGCCATTTGCCTATCAGTATAATTTAAGCCCTATCAACAAGATGAAATATTAAACACATAACAGCTTCTATTTAAAGAGACACTTAGGATGACTATGACTGAATATTAAAATCATAAGCAGAAATGTTTCAATACTATATTCTACACATTACTGATTTCTTAATAAATTTTATAAAAGATGTTTCTCCTTCTTTGGACCCCCAAAGAGAAAAGTAGATTTTTTTTCTATCTGTTTCTTGCTGTCACTGTCCCTTTTGTTGTTGACATGTCTGTCCACAAATCCCTTTTCTACTTTGATTTTTAAGTGACCAACTAAGAAACTTAATAATTTAGATATAATTTTTAAACGCCAGTTGAAAGTCAAAAAACCTGTAAATCAGAGCCTAAAGAAATATACACAAGGCAAGGAAAGGGAAGGTGGCGTTTATCAACCGGGTGCCCAGACTCTTTTTAAGACATTATTTCATTTAATTCTTCTGACAACCCTGAATGAAGTACCATTAAGTGAAACTGATACCTGGCTATGTGATTTTACTGAGTTTCCTACTAGTAAATACATTGTCAGGTATTAGAATTTGTATTTTCTGGTATAAATGTGCTGAATTAAATAAGTACAAAGGCCTGTAGCATGATTTCTGTAGTTTAGGTACCACTGAGATATTTTTCCAAATGGCAGAGGTTATTCCAAGTCTGACCTGCAAAAAAAGTTCCTCCTGAACTTTCAATTGGAACCTAATATCTTTCTACAGTTAATACTGCAATAAAAATGGTATACATATGTGCACAAGCACACACACATATTACCTGATCTTCAAATTTAAAAATAAATAACTAGTTCAAAAATTTAAAGTGAAACCCAATTTTTTATGAAAGAACACATATAGGTATATTCATATACCATTCCTGCCTATGCCAAACAAAAGTTAGGTGTCATTACAAATTCTCAGGAGCATAGAACAGCATACTCTGTAAGGTAAAAAATGAGAATTTTTTCCTATTCTGTTATTTTAAAAGAGGGTTTATTCACCCAAGGAGTAGAAAATACTGATTTAGCAAGACCTTATTAGAACACATCAAAATTAAAACCTTTTGTTTTTAAAAAAAAAATCCTATACATTATAAATATGGGCCACTCTCTATCATCTCTCCAAAAGAGATACTTTATTTCCTTTTTTAAAACCTTGTTTGGGGGGGTCACTCAACACAAATTCTAGGAAAAATACCAAACAAAAAGTTGTCGTTTAAAAAGGTTTTTTTTTAATGATCTAAGATTGGTTTTACCCAAGTTAACAAACCTTTGATAAGGCCTCAGAACTCATTTATATATCTACATTTAATCATCAATTAAATTTCCATTATATATTACCAATATGTAAAATACAAATTTAAATCCTAAACAACTATTATTACATGAATGCAAGGCATTTATAAAGTGTACATAAAATATATACTAATTTGGAACAAAGCATTTCAATCTATTAAATTTATTCATAACACCGGTTACCTAAATAATATAGAAACTAGGAACTGGGAACAATTCAACCTTTTCACATACAAAAAGGAAAACACACTTGTGTATGTGCAGTGCACACACATAACGCACAAGCCTCAGAAATATGAAAATTATCTACATCCTCCAGAAGTGAGTTTTTTGTTCCTGTTTTGCAAACCTGAAAACATCCTACAACTTTCTTCCCCACCAAAAAAAATGTGTGTGTGTGTGTGTGTGTGTGTGTATGGTGAAGCTTCACATATATATTAGGTAGTTTAAGAAAAGGCAATGATTTCAAGTAAAAACATTGAGATATCTGATTTACAGTGAAAAAAATTTATTTAACTTTTGCCATATCAGGACAACAAAGCAGCCCTTTTATGTCACCACTCATTAAAAGGGCATTACAAAACATTAACATAATGTAGTAACTAGCCCATGTTTTCTTTCAGGCATTTTCAAAGGGCATCTCAGACCCACAATATTTTCTATTAAGTGTGCGAAAAAACAGAGCTCCAAAATGATTAGTAAGGTAAGATACTAATGTCTCCCTTTTTATTTCAACATTAAATTTCCATCTTTTAGAGTTGTTCTGAATTTAACATTCACAGTTATGCAGTTTTTTAAAGTGTTAATATCAGCATACTTTCAGCAATCTTGGGATTTGAATAGCTACTATAAAGCAATAAATCCCTAATGTGCATAACATAGTTTGATAGTGTATATGAAAGAAGATGGCCTGAATTTTGCCCTCAAATGCACAAAAAGAATTTAATGTATACCACCTCAAAACAGTCTTTGGCCTTGCTGAAAAATTATGGAGCTGTTATTTTACTGTGAAGCAAAATAAGCCTTCAAGTGTCCCTTACTTGATCTTAGAAGGTCAAATTCTCTGTCCAACAGTTCCTCTTCTGTTAACTTGGAGAAATTATCCTCTCCAAAAGGATTCCACCCTGACATATCAGGTGGGTTACTGATGTTCTTCTGATTTGTAAAATTTGCAACTGCCTCTTTCTCAGCAACTGGCCTATTATAATAATTGAGAGAGGAAAAGAAAGAAAATGAGAATTTAAAAAATTTCACATTGCCCCAGTTTGTATTTTATAAATGCTTAGAAAACCATACAATTTTATTGCAGTTGAGATGGCAGGTTAAGGGTATGGGATCTGAAACACCTCTATAAGGCGGACTAGTTCCATAATCCATAAGGCATACTAGCTCTATAATCACCTACAAAAGGTACATAAGGTATTCCTTAACCCCTCTATGCTTCAGCTTCCTCATCTATTGGAAAGGAGTGATAGTATCTACTTCAAAGCATTTCTGAAGAAATTAAATGATTTAATACACGTATAAAGAGAACAGTGTCTGGTAAAGAAAACCAAGCAGTCAATAAATGAGTTATTATTCTTACAGTGAACAAATTGGAAAGTGACAATCTGTTACCATACCAAGCAGTATCACTCCAAAATTACTTCAGAATAACTGTATAGCGATCATGTCCTGGTTATGTGGAAACACCACAATAATTTCACTACAAACAAAAGATGAATTTTAGGATTGCCTTACTAATAAATTAGCTAAAGTTGAAAGAAAGTTATTCTGTAAATATGTAATTATTCATGGTGTTTAAGGTACCTAAAGTCTGGGGCTGGGGATATGCTTTTTGGTAGCTTGCTTAGCATATACAAGGCCCTGAGTTCAATACTTAGATTGCAAATATCAGTCAAACAATCATTAATACAAAACTATCGAGTCAGGAGCCTAAGACCACTGATTCTATGCAATTTGCCAGATAGGCCTCTTGGTTTTTAAGGTAAAATGTAAGTCTAAAGACTTCTTAAGAATCCCTGGGTACCTCTCCCTCAACCAGCCTGGAAATACAGCACAGGAATGAGGCAATTTAACAAAGCTATCAAATTCTTTACATAATTCAGATCTAAACCCTTTAATATTAACAATGGAGAGAAAGTCTCTATGTTTAAACAAGTATCTCCATTTTGCAAGCCTTGACTCATCCCTTTGAATTTACTTTCCCTTTGGCAGCTCAATGACCTTGCCACCACACAGGTCATAGAAGGTAAAAGTCAGCAAAAGACATCCACTTAACCCCTTAGTCCAAGCCCCCTCAGAATATTTGTGCCAAGAATAGAATATTTAAACAATTATTGAAGGCTAGAGGATAAGAAAAGAAAATAAACTATAAGTATAGTTGCTTAGTAAACAGAACCTAGATATTGCCAAGGCCTAAAAATCTGCCTCCATGTGACAAAATTCCATCTTTATTCCAAAATTGTTTTCAAGGACTTTCAGAGTCCTTAACATAGGTCAGAAAAAGGGAAATTCAAAGAACAACATTTTCCCTCCTATAAATTTCTTTCAGAGCTTTTTAACTTCCTATTTGAATCACTCCTCTAATTCCTATGATGAATCCTGGCAGACTGTACTCAATAGGGTATGTTACCTTAACCTACAGCTTACCTACAGTTCAAAGACACATTAAACTATGTCTGCCAGCACTGAGAATATAGATTATTGGTAGAGTCTAGCATGCCCAAGGTCCCGGGTTCAGTCCCCAAGAAAAATAAAAATAAACACAAACACACAAATGTTCTCTGATATTCCTCCCTACAAGGATAAAATCTAATTCTGCTCTTTGTTTTTTTCCTAGTCTAATTACAATTTCTACTTTTCCAAATAGCACTTTTCTTTATTAATATTATAAATAATAAAATCATGTAACACTAAGTAGAAGTACTAAAATGTAAATTATAAAATGCAAGTAATAATTTAATAAATTTCCAAAAATGATATACCTGGAAATAAGTCCCCAGTAATAAGAATGAAATAATTTTTCTTATTAAAAATAAGATAGGGATTAATGGGCTATAGTATGCCTGAGGCCCTTGGTTCAATCTCCAGTACAAATAAATAAATAAATGGATATTTTGCTCTATATTCCTTAAGATACTGATGAAAGTAATGTATCAATTACATGACTGCTTTTTTTTAACTTTTGGTGTTAACTAGCATCAAGATATTAATTAATCTAGTGAAATTAATTGGAAAGTACAAAAGATATTAAGCTGAATTACTACAGTATTCCCTACTTTAATCTTATCTTTTAGTAATACTGCTCATGGAATCATAGTTATAATACGTATTTTTCCCTAATTTTTGTTTAATTACTAAAATTTTTAAAACTTGGTTTATCACCAAAATCATCTTGCATACCCAAGGTTGGGAAACATTGGATTCAGTATCTTCAAATGCATATAGGACTTATTTTATTCTCTCTCCAATGGAGCTGTGTACTACTGGATGGGAACATGGAGCAGGAAAGGGCTGATTATTTAATAGGTAGAAACAATTATATACTATAGCCACTAGAGTTTAGGAATACAGAACTTCCTATAGGAAGCTACATTTGTTTGGTGCCTCAGTGTTCCTTCATCGATATTATTATACTACTTGATATCAGGTTAATTTTGAGTATAACATCTTCTCTAGCAATTTTAAAAGAGCTCTGTAAGCAGATATTCCTGCTTATCAGTGGAAGGTGACAACTGTTTGTCTCTAAATATTATCTTAGAATGATTTTCCCCTTTTCCCCAAATCTAAAATTCCTCCTCTTCTACTATGTTAATTTATCTTTGGTATGAATATCAAATAATATTTCAATAAGTTAAAATAAACATCCTCTACATATATATTATCTTACATTTTATAATTGCCCTATTATATTAACTAATATAATTGCCCTATTATATTAGTTATCTGTCTCTACATGGTAAATTACACAAAACTTAATAGTTTAAAACAACAACCTTTATTATCTTATACCCTTTCTTCCAGTGAGAAATGTAGCAGTGATTTAGCTGAAAGGCTGTTATGACTGAGTCTGCATTGGCTGGTGCTGAATGATCTGTTTACAGGATGGCTCACTAACCTGACTTTGTACAGGAGGCCTCGGTCCCCTGCCACAATGATTCTAATTAATACAATAGCTTCGTCAGTATCTTAAACTATACAATATCAAGCAGAATATCCTATTTTTAATATGGAAAAGTATTCCATTCTTATCATCACTATGGGGGGACTAATTATGCAAATTTATTAGATTACTACTTGTATTTCATAGTTTATATTTTATTGATTCTAATTAGTTTAGAATATCATAGCATATGCTTTAATTTTACTATTTACAATGCAGTTAATTTATTCAAGAAAAAAATGCTTTGTGAGAAAGAAAAATCTATAGAGTATGCTAATGACAAATAATGATTTGTACATTTAAGTTCTGCTCTCGACTTAAGACAAATCTGTCCTATTTCATATACTCCAGTTTTGTTTTAGGAAAGCACTTCATTAAATTCATTTTTCCCCTTTCCTTCCCTATTTCCCCCTAATCAATAATTTATCACTATTGCTTTTTTCTTTCTCTCTCTCTCTCTCTTATCTCATACACACACAGAAGTTGGGAGTTGTTCTATAGCAAACTGTGTACTTTCACACTCTTTTGAGATACACACAGTACAATTATGCTACCAATGTTACTGCTTCTCATGCCCAATTCCCAGGTGATGCTTGTGGAGACCTTTTCCCAGCCAATGTTTTAAATCCTGCATTCACTAGAAAAATACTTGCCTAGTACTATAAGAGGAGTCCATTATGGTTCCAACCTGAGCTGGAAGTGACGAAGTGTAGGAAACTAAGGCTGGTGAAAACTCTTGAGGGGAGGTAAGATATTCAGGTGATGTCTGCTGTTGGGATTGCTGATGTTGAGCTAGCATCTGCTGCTGCAAGAAAGTCTGCTGATACTGCTGCATCTGAAACAAGAATGATATTACATAAATCAATGCTCAAGTCAATAAAGTACTATCAGCATTGATTTTGTTTACTATCCTTCTTTCTTTTTACTTTGGTGACAAAACCAGAAACCTAGAAAATAATGAATTTTATTTGAAGGAACAGCTCTCTTACTAGAAAACTACAGCAGGAGGAATTTTACCTATTTAAGAATTTGTGAATCTAAGCTCACTTGGCCAGATTCAAAAATTCTCCCTTAAATATTTTAAGAAAAAGACAAGAGAGTGTCTTAGTCAGTAGAATGCTGGTGCTGTAAAAAGTCAAACTATTCTCTGAATCAAATGTTCTTTCCCTTTGAATTTCATTTTTATTCAACTGACACTTACAGAATGAAAGAGACACATGGCAAAGATCACGTAAAAGATCATTTCTCTTAAACTATAAGAGAAGTATGTTGTCTGTCAATTACAATGTGCCATACACTTGGGAGCCACAGTTCAAAATAGTTTATGACTACTTGAGAACATACACCTGTTTCAATAAAATACATGTCAATTAAATAACTTGAACTGATTCTGGATTATTAAATTCTGAGTAACCCCATTCACACTGTGAATTCCAACATTATAATGCATATCCAGAAAGAAATCTCTAGAAATTATGTAACACTTTACCATTGTAGGATACTGTGATGCAGGAGGTTGAGGCTGATACACTGAATGCATTAAAAATTGTTGCTGGAGTAAATGTTGTTGATGCACTGCATGCTGATACTATAAGATAAAAATAAATAAATAATCAATATTATCCATGCATTTTTTATGCCAGAGTCCTTTACTTAAATATTCATTTTACCACATCAGTAGTCTAAACTCCACTACAAAATAGCTGTAGAGTGACTATAATTTACATATGCTTATTAGAATTGGTTTTAAAATTGTCAACAAAATACAACAGAGATTCAACTAAAACCATATGCAGCATAATTTAAGGATGCCTGCAAGAATGATAATGCTAAACATTTTTATCATCTTTTCCCAGTTGACAAATTCCCCTGAAGTGACTTGTGACCAGGACCCATTACAGAAAATCCCCACTCTTCTTCACCTCCTCTTCAGTAGTGTCTTCGGCCATCCCATAACACCATTTACTTACTACCCTCCACTCTGGCTATATCAATCATAATTAGAGAAAAGTGACACCCATGAAAAATGTCATGAATGTAATTGGATCAAAAAATAGTTTAGGAAATCAAAGTGATGATGGTAATAGTAGTTCAATTTAAAAGTTTAATGAAACTAGAAATCTATTGGTTCTGATGAGATGAAGGACATTTTTTTCCTTACATCCTTTTCAGTTCTAAATGCTTCCTCTTACCCTTATACCAACCTCATCAAAAAAAAAAAAAGGAAGAAAGAAAAGTAAAGAAAAAAAAAAACAAAAAAGAATTTAAAAATCTAATACAATGGTACTTTTGGAAAGAACAATAACACATTTTCTACAATAGTCTATGAACTCAAAACAAGACCTCAGATAATATTCATCACCAATCACAATGCTTATTCCTGAATACTAACTGAACATTCTCTGCTTCATTAGGCCATGATGCAACCTGTTTTAATAAGGTATCCTTAAGTAGCTCATCAAATGCAAATTAACTACATATTCTTTAATAATCAGGAAATTAAAGAACATGTTTACTTGAATCTAGTTCAAGATGCCCATAATACGAAAAAGCAATTCAATGATTTTTCAACTGCTACATGATTTCGCAATTCTACTTCCAGATCTAAACTAGTAAAAGAACTACCTGCTGCATATAAGCATCCTGAAGTAGCTGATGTTGCTGTTGCTGCTGGTGAGGGTGATGATGCTGTAAATGAAGTTGCTGTAATCTCCAATCTCCCTGTTGTAGTTGTTGAAGTACTCTATGCTGCTGTGGAGGATGCTGTGGGGGCCCCTGACCCAATAAGATTTCAGGGTCATTTCCAGGTCTCAGTGATCCTATGATAGATTTCCAAAACTTACATTTACAAACTAATAATTTTCAATAAATGGCTATATTTCAATAATTATTTAACTAAGGCAGTTATATTCTTATTTAAGAGAAACTTCCATATACACTTTGTCTGACGGAATTATTTCCTGGAACTTTAAGAGCCCAGGAAACTTGATTTAATCAACTACAACCCAAATTATTTAGAATGTTAGAAACATTTTATGTTTTAAGTTTCATCTCTCCATGAACACACCAAGAAAAAGTTTATTCTACATCTCAAAATATCACGTACTATTATGACTATGTTCCCTTGCCAATAGAATTCTATCAGTTCAGAATGTCATTTTACACCAATTGAAATTCATTTCCTTCAAACTTGAAGTCAAACATTGAATGTAAATGGCTTAAACTCATCAATCAAAAGAAACAGGCTGGCAGACTGTATAAAAGAACAAGATCCAACAATATGCTGTCTCCAAGAGACTCACCTCATAAGCAAAGATATCCATAGATTGAAGATAAAAGGATAGGAAAAAATATATCATTTACATGGATCTCATTAACAAGCAGAGGTTTCTATTCTCATATCAGATACAGTGAACTTCAAGCCAAAGTTAATCCAAAGGGACAAATAAGGGCATTTCATATGTGTAAGGGAATTACACATCAACAAGATATAACAATTGTAAATATTTATGCCCCAAACCAAAGAGCATCTATCTACATACATTAAACAAACCCTGCTCAATTTCGGAATCAAATAGACCACAACACAGTAACACAGAGTGACTTTAACACAACTCTCTCACCACTGGATAGATCCACCAAATAAAAACAAATTTAAAAAGCTATAGAACTAAAAAATACAATCAATAATTTAGACTTATCAGATACATATAGAATATTTCATCTATCAATGACTGAATACACTTTCTTCTCAGCAGCACATGGATCCTTCTCTAAAATAAACCATATCTTGGGCCACAAAGCAATTTTCAGCAAATACAGGAGAGAGAGGGGAGGAGGGGAGGGAGGAGGGAAGGGAGGGAGGGAGGGAGGGAGGGAGGGAGAAACCTTGCATTCTATCAGACCATAATGGAACGAAATTAGAAATCAATGATAAAATAAAAAATAGAAGCTACTCTAATACCTGGAGACTAAATAATATGCTATTAAGTGACCAATAGACAGCTGAAGAAATCAGGGCTGATATAAAAAAATACTTAGAGATAAATGAGAAAAGCAACACAACATTTCAAAATCTTTGGGACATTATGAAGATGGTTTTAAGAGAAAAGTTTGCACTGCACTCATTCATTAAAAGAATAGAAAGTCACCAAGTAAATAACATCTCTAGAAAGGGAATAAATCAACACCAAAAGCAATAGAAGAGAGGAAATAATTAAAATCAGAGCCAAAATCAATGAAACTGAAACAAATAAAAAAATCAACAAAACATTGGTTCTTTGAAAAAAATAAAATTCATAAACCTTTAGCCAAGCTAACAAAGAGCAAAAGAATAAAACTCAAATTAATACATTTTTAAAAAAGTGATAAAAAGGAAACATTACTGCAGACACTACTGAAATACAGTCAATAATCAGAACTATTTTGAAAATTTATACTCCATTTAAATAGAAATCTTGAAGACATCAATAAGTTTCCACAAAAATATGACCCACCCAAATTCAATTAGGAGAGCATACAAAATTTAAATAGGTAAATTTCAAGCAATGAAACTGAAAATACCATCAAAAGCATACCAATAAGAAAAGCCCAGGACTAACCTTCCAAGAAAAACTAACACCAATCCTCCTCTAATTATTTCATAAAATAGAAAAGGAGGGAACCCTTCCAAAGCATCATCCTGATACCAAAACCAGACAAAATACATCAAGGATAGAAAACTTCAGAACAATATCCCTGATGAATACAGATGCAAAAATTCTTAATAAAATGCTGGCAAATCACATACAAAACATTAAAATAGACAGTGCATCATGATGAAGTGAGGTTCATCCCAGGGATGCAAGGTTGGTTCAATATATGGAAATCAATAAACATAATTCATCACATCAATACACTTAAAGACAAGAAATCACATGATTTTTCTCAATATATGCAGAAAAGGCACCTGACAAAATACAGAATCCATTTATGTTCAAAACAGTAAAAAAACTAGTGAGTAATATGAAGATACGTCAACATTCTAAAAACTATATACATTAAACCCAAGGCCAACATCATTCGAAATGGAGAAAAATTTAAAGCATCTGCTCAACACAGTCCTTGAAACCCTAGCCAGAGCAAGTAGGCAAAAGAAAGAAATTAAAGGGGTACAAATAGGAAAAGAAGAGTTCAAACTACCCCTATTTGCCAATGATATGATTCTATATTTAGCAGACCAAAAAATTCCACCAGAAAACTTTCAGAACTCATAAATGAATTCAGCTAAGTAGTAGGATATAAAATTAATACCTATAAGTCAATTGTGTTCCTATGCATCAGCAATGAATCAGCTGAAAGAGAAATTAGAATAACTATTCCATTCACATTAGCCTCAAAAAAAATCATAAAATTCTTGGAAATAAATCTAACAAAAGAGGTAAAATACCTCTACAATGAAAATTACAGAACACTAAAGAAAGAAATTGAAAAAGACCTTAGAAGATAAAGAGATCTCCCACATTCATGGATAGGCACAATTCATATTGTCAAATGGCCCTACTACCAAAAGCACTATGCTGATTTAATGCAATTCCTATTAAAATTCCAATGATGTTCTTCATAGAAACAGAAAATACAGTCATAAAATTCATTTGGAAAAACAAGAGGCCCAGAATAGCCAAAGCAGTCCTTAGCAAGAAAAGTAAAGCAGGAAGCATCACAATACCACATATTCAATTATACTATGGATCCAAAGTAAGAAAAACAGCATAGTATTGGCACCAAAACAGACATGAAAGAATAGAAAACACAAGGACAAACCCACATTGAAAAATGATCCTATACTAGACAAAGGTGCCATAAACATACACTGGAGGAAAGATAGCCTCTTCAACACATGGTGCTGGGAAAACTAGAAATCCATATGTAGCACAAAACTCAACTCAATGTGGATCAAGAACCTAGATGTGAGACCAGAGATCTGAACCCACTAGAAGAAAAAGTAGGCCCAACTCTCCATCATACAAGTTTGGGAACCAAATTCCTCATACTCCTAAAGAACAAGAAGTGAAAATGATAATCAATAAATGGGATGGTATCAAACTAAAAACCTTCTTCATTGCAAAGGAAACAATCAAGAATATGAAGGGAGACCCTACAGAATGGGAGAAAAATCTTTGCCACCTGAACTTCATATAGAGCATTAATCTCCTGGATATATAATGAACTCAAAAACATTGAAAAAAATAAAATAAAATAACCCAACCAATAAATGGGCAAAGGAACTGAACAGGCACTTCCCAGAAGAAGAAATATGAATGTTCAACAATATGAAAAAATGTTCAACATCTCTAGCAATTAGAGAAATGCATATTAGAAGTATACTGTGATTCTATATCATTCCAGTCAGAATGGCAATTATCAAAAACACAAGTAACAATAAATGTTGGCAAGGATGTTGGGAAAAAGGTTCACTCATGCATTGGTGGTGAGACTGAGAATTGGTGCAACTACTCTGGAAAGCAGTAATGGGAATTCCTCAGAAAACTTGGACTGGAACCACCATTTGACCCAGTTATCCCACTCTTTGGCATATACACAAAAGACTTAAAACCAGCATACTACAGTGATGCAGCCAAATCAATGTTTATAGCAGCTCAATTCACAATAGCTAAGCTATGGAACCTACCTGGGTGCCCTTCAACAGATGAATGGATAAAGAAAATGTGGTATACACAATGGAATATTACTCAACAATAAAGAAGAATGGAATTATGATATTTGCAAGTGAATGGATGGAATTGGACACTATCTAAATAAAATAAGCCAATCCCAAAAAACCAAAGGCCAAATGTTTTCTCTGACATGCAGATGCTAACTCATAGTAAGTCAGGTAAGGGACCAACAGAAGTTCACTGAATTAGACAAAGGAAAATTCATTGCCATGGGCACCCTCACCAAAGGCTTAAAAAGCAATGGGTCCATTCAAACATGAACCAGAACCTCTAAAACTACAAGTCATAACAAACCCTTTCTCTTATTAAGTTAGTTATCTCAGGTATTCTGTTATGGTGAGGGAAGCCTGACTAAAATAACTGTTCAATTCCAAGGCAGAAAAGGGTAGAATACGAAGAGAGAAGGATTCTTTTTCATCAGTTAATGTATTCAAACTTCCTCAGGCCTAAGTTCAGAACCTCCATGAAAAGAGCTTTCTATTTCTAATTCTTCTAATTTTAAGAAAAATTCAGGTCTATGTCTTTCTTGAAAATATTTATAAAAATTTAAGGAAGAAAATGAAGAAAAATTACACACCATCCAGACCAAATTACCATTGATCTTTTAAATGTTATTTCTTTCCAATGGAAAGAGAATTAAAAGTTACACTCCTAAACTATACATTCATTTTTCAGAGCTGTGAAGTCCAGCTGGAGAAGGCTCATATGGGAGTCCAATCACAAACCAAGGATCTTCATGTAAGGACTGTGAGATCACTTCTCACCTCACAAACTGACTTTTCTTTAGTATCATCAGGCAGCAGAAAGCCCTTGATCCTCCATCCAAAGTCACAGAGCACCAGAGAATCCACAAACAATATTACAATTTTATATGAAAACAACTGTTTCTTCAAGTACATCATAATCATTCACACTATAATTCCCCATTTTGCAAATGATGAAACAAAGACTCAGATAAGTGAATCTGCTAACAAATCAAATAAAAATAAAGACAGAGAAACTCTGAATATACAAAATTGATCTAATATATAATTTGTATATCAAGACACAGATCACACATTCTCTACAAAGTCAGATAGTATCTATACATAAACTGAAGCAGG